ACTAACAGCGAATGAACTTGTAGCTTAGTACACACTTTCTTTTCAGTGCTAGTTTACAGCAAACCTGTCATACAAATGCCTTTATTTTTCTGACCAGGTCTGTGTGCAATACTGTCTAATATCACCAGGTGGAGCTACGCAGGAAATCTCATTTTGGTTTATTTAATTAGACAGTAGAGTCTAGGTTTTTCTAAAACTCTCTTTTTGGATGGTACCTGAAGACATGCAGCATCAGCTTGGGTCCATAAAACCACTGCCAATCCACAGCTATCCAAGACAGTAAATTCAGTGTGTGCAGACAGTATTTCTTCCATGTGCACAGGGCAATAGTAGGTACTAGGAGAGAGCTCAGGTCCAGAAGGTATCAGCAAAGACCAGCTGGCTTAGCTAGCAAAGCCACTGCTCTGAAATGGCTTCAGCAAAGTGCTTGGTAATGCCTAAATATATCCTGCAGTTTCCTGCTTCTTCCCCTCCTTTTGTGCCATTTTCTTCATTAAGTCTACTGAACAACAGTCTAGCTTAGCCTGGCAAGACAACTCCACCTTTGATCATATAATCACTGCACTAAACAGCCTGACACTAACGAAAGTTTTGCAGTCTCAGTATAGCTGAAAACACAAGGCTTTGCCTGTAATGTCTTAATTAACTTTTTTACATAAGGTAAGGACCAGAGATAAAAGATGTGTTCCCTGTTTTTTCTGCTATGTCTTCTTTAGTCCTCAAGTAAACAGGGCCTAATTACAGCTGTTAAAATAATGCCATAGTTTCTTAGCTAAGATCCATTTCCCCACTCTAAAAAAGCCAACTGATACCCCTAAGGGAAAGGGTTCCCTCACCCCATCCAACAAGAAGTTCTATACAGTCACAGGGAAATGTAAAAAAAATTATTCAAAAGAAAAAAATACATAATTTAAGAAGTTTCAGGTATCTAAACTGTTTTCAACTCTTCTCTGTGCTCAATGGAATGTTAGAGATTTTTACAAAGTGACTGTTAACTTGATCAGAGTAGATGTCATCTTGAAGTCTGTAGGTCACAGTATGTGAAAACTGACTTGCAAACTTCAGAATATAGAAACTTAACACTGATTCCCAGAAACTACTGGCATCTTAAGACAAGCAGGTCCTGCCAGTATTATGTGAATCAAAAAAAATCTATTAAAGTTCTCCTACAATTATTTTCAGATTTATGGTTTTTAATATTGTACTAGATACAAATGAGCTGAAAAATTAAAATGGCATCAAGCACTTACTTCTTTTTAACCTTGGCACTTCTCCAGCTGAAAACAATGACTGCAGAATCAAACACCAAACCTCAATCTCTAGCACTTTATTTGTAAGTATTTATTCATGTTCTCACTTTACAGCCCTCTCAGGCCGTGTCTATACTGTGAAATAAAAAATGGCCCAGCCATGGACCCAAATACTAGCCCAAGACAGTCCACATCCTTCAACTATTACCTCATTCCCTGGCTCTGTTCTGAGCTGCTCGTACTGATTCCTGCCAAAACAAACCTGCTCCTAGACGTGTTAGACCTAAGAATTATATTTGAGGGCAGTTAGTGTTGTGGGGTCAGGGGTTAGTCCCTGGCCCTTTTTCATTTAGCAGCACAGATGTAGGCTGGAGGCAATGGACCTAACTCTGGTATCATCAGAAGTAAGGTGAAAAGCATTTATGATCTGGTCTAATCTTGTGTAAGATAATAAATCTTGCTTTTCTGAGTTGATTTCATGAGATGTAGTTAAGAATTAGCAAAATGAAATAAATTTTTTTTGTATTCACTCTGAGGTAGCTCCAGTACATTGATGTGGATTGAGCTCTACATGTTTTCCATAAGCTTTTTTTTAACCACTTGAAAAATATCCCACACTCCATCTCTAAACTGCCTACATGATTTTTTTGACAGATAAACTGTTATTCTACTGCTCTCTTCAGTGGAACATGTTGTCTATTTTAATGAGTTTGGAAAATAATCCCAAAATACCACACTTCAGTGGAAAAATGCATGACTTTGTTTAGAAAATCGTGCTTAAACCCGAAGATTTTCACTCCTCTCCCTGCACAGGACCAAAATTAAAGAAGCTAATAGCAAATGTGCTGTATCAGTGTATTGCTCATTGACATACAAAAATCTAACAGGCAATTGCTAAATTCACAATTACATTAAGATTCTTCAAAGTACCTATGTATGACAAGTGCCTTCTAAAAACAGGATAAAACATAGAAGTCATTTCTCTATCTTTACAAGTCTCCCTTCAACTGTTACTATGCAACTGACCAAGCCAAAATACTATCCTATAGCAGAAAATCCACCACAGTGCAATCCATCTCAAGAAAGCCCTCAGAGATGGTTGGGCAAGGAAGTCAAACTGCTGTGGTAACAAGAATTACAGTGCTGGAAACCCCCAGAAGCATCCTAAAGCCTTTAGACTCAGCAGGCTTAGCTCCTAGCCTGCTCTAGAGTCAGTGGCAAGATTGTTTCCTTCCCTACAAAGCATGATATTCACTGAATTTCATGCCTTGAGACTAGTTTTTCCTAAAACATCTCGTTTCGTTTTGAGACAAGTGACATCCATCAACTTCTGTGTTTGCATTCTGATCGATATCCTGCTACTGAATTCTGGTATCTGCTGTTCTATGGGAAATAATAGGAGTTTACATGAAAGAATGTATCATCTCTCAAGGGTGGGAACTGCCTTCCTGTCTCAATTCTGTGTACTGTGTTTAGATCAATGAAGCCAAACTGCCCCAGTACAACAACTCAAGTAATCCCACTTATCCCAATATGAAGAATATTCTAAAATACTACAGCATGTTTTAATTTTTGTTTTCAAAAATTATGTTTATCCTCTTGCCAGGAAGTTGAGAATTGCACACATAACAAATTCATAACACAATAAAGGAAATTCAACAGATCTGACTCTCTTGAAATGGATCTTGGTTCTCGGAAGTTTAGAATATGCAGAACTAAGAAATAACTTTTTTTACTAATAAGCATTACAACTTTGTACTTCCTACCTCTCCCTGATGTTCCAGTCATTCTTACTGGGCTTCCACCAAAATGCAATCTTTGCATTTTTTTAAAGCTACACAAATTTGGCATATAGTCACCTATATAAAAATTTATTTGAAAAGCAGACAATGTTTTATGTATAAGCATAAACTGCTTATATCACCTATATCAGCTCTACGTATTATTCACTAGTTATTATTGTTCTTGCTTCATCCTTACAAAATTCTGCCTCTAGAAGGAAAAAAAACACATAAAACTCTTCTCTTAAGCCTACAAACTTTAGACATTTCCTTCAAAAAAAAGCAAATAATAAAGTATATGAAAATACATGAAAGTATATGAAATAGTGAAGTATATGAATAAAGTTTCTGGCAGACTGAGGACCAACAACTTACAGCCCTGTGCTCCCATTTATTTCTGGAGGAATCCTATCCCCAGAGATGCAAAAGACACCCATAAGCTTTAGCAAGAATTTGTCTGGGAATGTTTTAGAATGTTTCCCCCTCTATGCTTCTTTTGAAGACAGTCATGGTATATGAAGTCTCTCTGAATGCATCTCTTGTTGGAGGATCCTGGGATAAGCAATGTAGATGGGTGAGAGACATAAAATTAAATGGCAAACTGTTCAATGATTTTCAGAACTTCCTGGTTCCCTGATTTTGTTCAGTTTTAGGGGAAGGGAAAACCACATCACCTGACACTGGAATAAACAGGGAACAGCATCTTTTCCTCTCACAGGCAGGTTCTTCCCATAGGTGAAAGCTCAGGACACCATGTATCATAACACAAAGTATGGTCATAACTCAGGGCCATTTTTAACAAGTGCAGTTTGATGAGAAATTATCATTTTGATGCTATGCACAAAAAATCCTATACAATAGCCAGTAATATAGTAGACATCAGCAAATAAAGGGTTGAGGTTTTTCTTCTAACAGCCTATATTTTAACAAGTAGCCTGATAATTTAAAATTTAAAAGGAAAAATGTACAAAAATATTTGAAAGCCTTTAAACAACCTTTTCAGTTTAAAAACGGAAAATTCTAAGTCACCTGAAAATCACTGACCTTTTCTAATTTTTCAAAGTGTTCTCTGAGGAACTTCATGGGTCGGTCTGGCTTTGCTATGCAAAGGTTTACAATGCACTCTTTTAAAATCTGTTGGATGTTGTGCTTCTGAACATAGAGTTCACATCCCTTCAGGCTCTCATCTTCTTCCACACTGCAGGAAGAAGCAGCAGCCATCTTCAGGCTTGTAAACAGAAAACAGACCTAGGTAAGAAAATGGTGCAAGAAAGAGATAAGAGACAGTTCCCAAACACTTTGTCAAAGAGATCTAAAGGAGCAAAGACATTTTAACATTGCCTATTCAAGAGCTGTCGATTCCGAATGTTTTCACGTTCTGGGGTTGTATGTGGAAATGCTGAACTGTGACATCATACCATTACGTACAAAACGAGCATTTTAACTCCTAGACGGTTGTCTACCTTTGGAAATAACAGAGCAATGAATCATACAAGGCCATGAGTTTCAAAGACAGCTATTAAATGACGGCGTAAAGCCTTCCTTCTTTATTCCCTTGGGGACACCCTCCCCGTCACCAGAAACCCAGTTTTCTGCAACAGAAGGATTTCGGGTAAATTTTAACATCTTTCACAGCGAACGACTCTTCCCGGTCCCGGGGCATTGGGGAGGAGGGCACGGAGCCGCCCAAAGCGAAATTTGGAACGGGGTGGGGGGAAGGTTAACAACGCCAAACCCCTCTTCATTGCCCCCGGCGAGCGCATGACCGCTCCATTACAAACCCAAAACCCCAGGGCAGCTTTTACACCGGCCCCCAGCCGGCCCTGCCCGGGCGCCGGAGCCCCGGG